CAGAGCCACGGTTTAGGGTTGAGGGTTTAGGGTTTAGGCCCCCCGAAGCCTTAAGAAACCCCTATAGACACCTTATGAGATCCCATCAACCTGCTCAGGAACAAGACAACAACCCTTCTGGAAATGAGGAACACCCTAAACCCTAAACCTTAAACCCTTAACTCCACAAACACCGGACATACCAGCCTGGTAGTTGCTCTCCAGCATCATCCACAAGCATCCCCGTGGCCTGCTTGCTCAAGGCTTCGAATATTTCAGACTTGGGGGGGGAATTTGAGAGTAGATAAATGTTTCTTATAAAACCCTAAGGCTCAAACAAGCCCAAAAGCCTTGTATAGTATCGTCTTTGGGCACAAAAGCCTTAAAATATGAGTCCTTAGAGCCTTTGGGAAAATCGGGTTTAGGGGTTCGTTTCTTGACATTGGTGTCTTTGTCTCGGGGTGAGATGCTCTAAATATTGGGTGCCATTTGGGGTCTTCACACAGCACAGGGAGCCCGAATGCCCTCAACACTCATCCTCTGGCTTTGGGTACTTTGGGATGTAGGGTTTAGGCTAGGGTTTAGGGTTTAGGGTTTACGGGGGGTTTAGGGTTCAGGGATTAAGCTACTTTGAGCTTGGGGTTCGGGTTCAAAGTGCTTTGGGTTTTAGCGCGTAAATGTGTGCGGCGCGCCTCCTTCTTCAGCTTTGGTCCAACCTGCAATGCCCCCGTGTTTCTTCGTAGGGCTGTGGATTGCGGGTGGGGTTCGTGTGGGGCTTCGAACTCACAGGAGACGTTCAAGACGAATGAATCAAACGGATGGCATGTAGAGAAATTGTACAGATTTCCTGACTCGCATGAAGGCCTTTAAGATTGTCCCTGGCATGTCTGTGAGGTTGTTACAAGGGGTCAGCGTTAATTACTTATTCCCCAATCCACAGGCCCAAAAAGTGTAAGCTTAAGAAAACCTGATTTAAAGCTTCTGGGCTTTTCGGGATTAAAGCTTCGGGGTTTTCTGGCTTCGTGCCTTCTGGAGTAGCTTGTCTAGCTGGAGACCGATCTTCTCATCGCGCTGCCGTAGCATCCTCCGCTCAGCAGTGGTGGTGCAGGGTTGAAGGGTCAGAAGTAGTAGAGGTACTAGTCGTCATCGTCTTCGTCGGCGTCGTCGTAGTCGTCGCAGCAGTGGAAGTAGTCGTAGTAGTACTAGCAGTAGTCGTCACATAAGGAGCAGCCGCAGCAACAGTAGCAGCAGCCCCTGTTGCAAAGTACAGTTTTTCATTCTTCTCCGGGTTGAAAGGCTCTCCAGCGTTCTCAAAGATTCTACAACTGCAGCTCAGCTCTGGTAATCCGACCAGACCAAATCTTCCCAGCCGACAGGGTCCCTCCATGCAGCCTGTTGTTAGAAGAATATCGTGTTTAAACGGGTGTTGGGTTTAAGGTTGAAGTGACTGGAATATCGCTTCGACAAGAAGAGTATGCCCTCTTCAGTTTTAGGTGACCTCCCTTGGTGAAGGGTGTTAGGCTCCCTAGATTCACCGTCTATGGCCCCCAGGCTAGGGACTCAGGGACTCTCTGGAGACAGATCTGGCTACATGGCTTGTTTACGCAGGTAGACGCGTTCTGCTTTTGACTTTATGCAAGCATTCATGCATCCGCCGAGCCCGGAGTTTGCAACGGATTCCAAGACTTCCGTCAAAATCCAACCGAGCAACAAAACTGACAGTCTGCCAAGGCACTGAACTTCCCCCACCCAAGGTGCTGGCAGCTGTAGTTGTATTTCTATCCTCGGAGGTAGCTCGGCGAAACACAAGAACACTGACATGTACTTCAAATTACAATGATGTAGGGGCTTTAATAATTAGAAT